ACAGTGACACTGTGTCCTCTGGTCCCACCGGCACTGGCTTTCCCAGGATGTTGGAGGCTGAGAAACATCATCCTGGGCTTTAGACCCAGGTTTAAGAGCAGGGAGGACCAAAGGGGACAGCAGCAGAGTGCCAGGACTCCTGGGGTCATTCCTGCCTGCCTGCTGGGTTTGTTGGGACAGTGACCAGCTTCACCCATCACCTCGAGGGGCCAGAGCAGGACCCCAATCTCCTCATCACCTTGTGACCCCCTCACCATCTCCTCAGGGCTGGGAAAGCTGGGAAGCGAGGGCAGCCCAGCACGGCTGTGGGGCCTCTCCTGCACAGCTGCCCAGCCGAGCGTGAAATGGGCTGAAAAGGGACAATGTGATGTTCCCAGGGCTGGGGACAGAGGCTGTTTGTCCCCTGCGGTGGCCGCAGTCCCCACCACAGCTGCAGAGTGGGGCTGGTTGCAGCCAGGGTGACGGTTCTGCCTCCCCATCCCTCTTTGCTGTCAGTGCTTTGTAACCGTTTCAGGGCTCCTGGTCCCATCCTGCCCTGCACTGCTGGCCCTGTCAGAGCCCTGTGACCCCTGCGACCATGGTCCCCAGCTCTGCCCTCAGAACGGTGACCCCAGCCGGGTGCAGGATGCGGACCCTGGCCTGGCTGAGCATCACCAGCCTGTGTCTGGGGGCAGCTTGGGCTGTCCCAGCCAAGGAGAGGAGGAAGGCAGAGAAGCCAAAAGCTGAACTTGCACTCTACGAAAACCTGGACTTGGACAACTACGACCTGACGTTGGACAACTACGGTGACATCCTTGACCTGAGCAACTATGAGGAGCTCTATGACTACGGTGACCTTGCTCCGAAGGTGAGGGGGACACAGGAGAGCACCCGGTGCATGGGGCAGATCTTCCCTGGGTGCATCATAAGATCATAAAATGGTTTGGATTGGAAGGGACCTGAAAGCTCATCCAGTCCCAACCCCCCTGCCAGCAGCAGGGACACCTTCCACTAGACCAGGTTGCTCAAAGCCTCATCCAACCTGGCCAAGAACACTTCCAGGCATCCTGAGAAAGGGGCTTGGTCTGAGGGATGGATGGGGCACAGCTGGAGAACCAGCCTCTTGAGCAAGCCTACGAGCTCTGGTGGGTCTTCCACTGCTCTGGCCAGTGGCAGAAAAGGCTTTACCTGACCCCAACCTCCACCAGCTTCCTTCTCCCCTGCCAGTGCCTGGCCAGAGCATCGCTGCAGGAAGCCAAGACATGAGGTTTCCTGCATCCCTCTGGGCAAATAGGGGGTGGGGTTTCCAAATCCCTGAGCTAGGAGAGCTCTCCAAGGAGGAGCTGGCTGCTCAATAAGACCAACCCAGTTCCCTTGACCCCTTGACCGGTGCCTCCTGTGCTGGAGGGAAGCTGGAAGACTCACTCAGCCACCCCAACCCTCACGTCCAGGCTGTGTTTGCAGATCGAGGTTGGCACCCTGGCTCCTCGCCCCAAGGACCCCCCAGCTCTTCCAAACCTGGGTGCCACTGCTGAAACCCCAAAGCTGGAGCCTCCAACCACCTCCAGCTCCATCCACCCAGCACCCATCCCTGCACAAGGTGAGTGCAGAACCCTGAGTGCAACACAAAGGTGCAGCTGGTGGGATTTGATTCCCATGGGATGCAGCCCCATGTCCCAAGGGTGGCAGGGGCTGGTGCTCTGGAGAAAAGGCAGCAAATCCTCTTGCCACCAGCAGACAGCAGCAGTTATTTGTTCTGCTGGGGGG